TTATAACTTTTTTTAAAAGTTTATTTTAAACCTTTTCCAGAGAGGGCTTTTTAAACTCTTTTACACATTTTTTGGTCTTCTTAAGCAGAAGTTGAATATAATTTTACATTTTCTTCCTGAGCTGAGTTTAGCATTACAAATAGCAACTGTTATCTTCTCCAAAAAATCTAGCGATGGCTTCAGGGGCTTCTGAGATGTTAATACATCATGTCTAACATGCTTGCCTCATGAGCAAACAGGCCAGTCTCTTCAGAGGCATATCAGCTTCACCTCAATCCCCACAATAATGTCATGTTAGACACAGTCACAAAACTCTGTCCAGATTAGGGCAGTGGTGAGAATTGAAGGTGAGTCCTTGCACAGGTACAGCCCAGAGGTCCCTGTGGCAGAATCATCTGGGAAGATGGGATGTGGGGGTAGAGGGAGCTTGGGAGAAGGAAAGAGAACAGAGTTTAGAAAAGACATGGAGTAATGAAACAAGAATACTGTCATCTGGCAAGTGTACAAACCTATTTGTGGTTATTAAGGCTTAATTTTAAAGAGCATAATCACTAGATAAGCAATTTTGAAGGTAGGATGTAGAAAGTAAAATGGGATAAAAGTAAAAAGAGGTGGATGCAGTGACTCATGGTTATAATCCCAGCACTTTGGAAGGCTGAGGCAGGAGATCGTTTGAGACCAGGTGTTCGAGACCAGCCTGGGCAACATAATGAGACCCTGTCTCTACAAAAATAATTTTAAAGTTAGCTGGGTATGGTAGCGCCTCTGCCTCAGCTACTAGGAAGGTTGAGATGGGAGAATTTCTTGAGCCTGGGAGGTCGAGGCTGCAGTTAGCCGTGATTGTGCCACTGCACTCCAGCCTAGATGACAGAGTGAGACCGTCTTAAAATAAATGTAAAAAGAGGGATAGTGATAAGATTAAAAACATTCCAGTATTTGGTAAAATCTGTGTTCTGGGGCATTACTTGACAGAAGAAGTAACATTTCAGTGGCCAATGAAGAACTTTGTGGGTAAACACTTTTAGCTGCAAAGCTGTTTCGATGGTCGTGCCTGGTGATCATGATGAGCCTGGTGATACTTATGATGTACGAATGCATAAGGGATCCCTTGTGGGCCTTGCTTCTATTTGTATTTCCTTTGCTAGGCCAGGCCTTTCCTTCCAACTATAGATCAAGCAGAATTTTGAGAGCTCAATCATCTCTTAAGTGTCAAGTGCACTGTCTTCACATGAATGAATCTTCGCCATTTTTATCTGACACCTGCTGGAATCTTTGTGTTGCAACAAATTTAAATAGACCTTTGAGAAAGTTTCGCTGAGTTACTAATATCATATGCCCTTTTTCATATATTTTGAGGACTGTCTGAGGGATAATCTATGACAAGTAGAGACTAGCAGTGTGGAAATAAGTAAAGACCACCCAAATAAGAATAAGCAGAGGCTGTTTATGCAGAGCTTGCTATAGCAATGGAGCCAGCTAGTGTCTTAGTTCGTTTGGGCTACTAAAACATTCTGTACACTGGGTAGCTTATAAACAACACGAATTTATTTTTCACAGTTCTGGAGGCTGGGAAGTCCAAGATCAAGGCACTGGCAGGTTTGGCTTCTGCTGAGGGCCTACTTTCTGGTTCATAGAATGGTGCTTCCTCACTGTGTCCTCAAATCATTTAAAGGTTGAGGCAGCTCTTTGGGGCCTCTTTGAGAAGGGCATGAATCCCAAGACCTAATCACCTCCCAAAGGCCACACCTTCTAATACACACTGGAGATTAGGTTTCAACATAGGAATTTTGAAGGAGACACAAACTCTCAGACGATAGCAACCACGATTACTGGCTTTTTTTTTTTTTGAGACAGGGCCTCTCACTCTGTTGCCCAGGCTGGATTGCAACCTCTGCCTCCCAGGCCCAAGCAATCCTCTCACCTCAGCCTCCCAAGTAGCAGGGACTACAGGCACATGCCACTGTGCCTGGCTACTGTGTGTGTGTGTGTTTGTGTGTGTGTTTCTGTGTAGTTTGGAGACGAGGTTATGCCATGTTGCCCAGGCTGGTCTTGACCTCCTGAGCTCAAGCAATCCTCCTGCCTCAGCCAGTGCTGGGATTATAGGTGTGTGCCACGGACCTATTGGACTAAATGAAGGGGGACGAACACAAGAATAAAAGATAAGAGAGTATATTTGGAAGAAGGGGTCAGGGAGCACCTTGCCTCTAGTGGACAAGGGCCCTAAGCTTTACACAGCCCTCTGTATTTATTAGGCAAAAGAGACAGCAAGGTGGGGGCGGGGGTGGGGGGGTGGTTGTCTGCCAGCAGCTTGATTCACAGCAGGCTTGCAAGACTGCATTCTTAGAACAATAGGCGCTAGATTTCTCAATAGATAACTTCAAGGAACCCTGTACCAGGGAGTGAGGCCCTCAGTACACCTTTTGGTGGCAGGGCCATGTGAGTTTGCCCACATCCTACATTCATGATAAACAGTTTGCTGTTTGATCATATAGCCTCCAGTGGAAGGCTGAGTTGGTCACATCCCACGGGCCTTCGGCTCCCCACAGGTGTGAGCCACGGTATCAGCTAAGCTCTGCTTCTTACATGTTATTTAATCTCCACTCCTCAGTCTCCCCAGTTGTAAAATATCACTGATACCTAACAGGAGTTATAAAACACCAGACCCATATTAGGCACTCATCAGATCCCTGAAACCTACCACCCTCCTGGGGAGGTAACAGTTAAGTTTGGCTCCTTGAATTCCTTGGCCATCTCTGAGCCACCTGTAATCTCCCAGCTTTTGAATGTTCCTTGTTGAGTTGGTTCTGCCACAGGACTTCTGAAGAAGCCCTTATCTCCATTCAGCACCCCTCTACTGCCCTCTCCTGGCCATGATAGTCATTGCAGCCCTGCAGGTCCTGCCCTCTCCAGGATCACTGCACTAGCTTCATTAACATTGGGCACTTTGGAGCCTGGCACTGGAGCTGATGTTACAGTGACAAAGTTGAATAAACCCCAGGCCCTGAACCTTAAAGTGTATACCCTGTGAGAAACAGACAACTGAAGAGCTGGATACAAGAATACATTGGATTCCTTCTAGAAAGTGGCTATAGGAGGGTAAAGAAGCACAGACATAAGCTGGTCAAGCACTGCAAGTAGCAAGGCTGAGTGGAGATCTGCTGGGGGAACCAACCAGCACGAGCAGCAAGAGTGTGGAATAGGCTTGTCAGAATGTTAAAGGCCAGATGTCATCCTGAAAATGAATCACTAAAAACTTACTTTTTGCTTTAATATTTTTTCTTGTAAATCAAAGGTAAATAATTCTTAATGTATATGTAAGCTAAACAGTAACTTAGTACAGTTATTTTTAAAGTATTAAAAAGAATTTTGTCTTAAAATTACAAAAGTCCTTGAGTATTACATCATATGTTAGGTTACATAAATAATTTGTGTATTAACCAAATATCTTGATACATGGACTATAGAAGACATTTTTAGGATGAGGTACTTTAAAAGAAACATTTAAAAAATCTATTTATATAACTGTCAAAGTTATCTCATTATTGTGATGAGGGACTTGATACAATCATCTACATTTTAATTCTAGAAAAGCACCTCTTTATAATTAAAGCAGAATCAAAATTTCAGAGAGAAGAAAATCATTTGCCTAGTACTTGTCTCTTGGAAAAATTAAGATCTGAAATAGGAGTTTAGATCAGTGGTTCTCAAACATTAGAATCACCTGGAGGTTTTAAAAAATCCCTGTGCTCGGCCGGGTGTGGTGGCTCATGCCTGTAATCCCAGTACTTTGGGAGGCTAAGGTGAACAGATCACTGAGGTCAGGAGTTTGAGGCCAGCCTGACCAATATGGTGAAACCCCATCTGTACTAAAAATACAAAAATTAGCTGGGTGTCATGGTGGGCACCTATACTCCCAGTTGCTTGGGAGACTGAGGCATGAGAATCACTTGAACCCAGGAGGTGGAGGTTGCAGTGAGCTGAGATTGCATCACTGCACTTCCGGCCTGGGCAACAGAGTCAGACCCTGTCTCAAAAAAAAAAAAAAAAAAAAAAAATTCCCCATGCTCAAACAGCACCGTAGACCAATTCAACATGAATTTCTGGGTGTGGGGCCCAGGCATTATTTTTTAAAATCTCTCCAGGTGGCTTCAATGTGCAGTAGTCTCACAAACCAATGGTTTTAGACAAATATAAAACAAAGTAGTTATTAAATTTATCAACTGACCCAAATTAATCAAGAAAACACAGATTTAGTATCCCTGGTCTGAAAATCCAAAATCCAAAGTGCTCCAAAACCCAAAGCTTTTTCAGCACCAACATGACACTCAAAGAAAATACTCTTTGGAGAATTTAAGATTTCAGATTTTAGGATTTACGGATACTGAACAGTTAAGTATAATGCAAATATTCCAAAATCTGGAAATACCTGAAATTCGAAACACTTCTGGTCTCATGCATTTTTGGATATGAGATATTCCACCTGTATTTTGACTTTTAAATGACCTCTTCAGGACTGGTTAGCAAAATTACCATACACTGTAGTGATGAGGATTGTGGTGTGCTACAAGAGCCTAAGTCAAAACTTAACAAAGCTGAGCTAAGACAAGGGTCGATTTTAAAATTTCAATGACCACGTCTTAACAAATTATTTAGTAACATTAGCAACTGCAGTGGCTATGAGTTGTTCTAGTCTTATTCTTACCAAAGCAAATTAAAAATGCAGATATATATTAAGTATTCTGGAAACGATTTGCCTGGGAGGCCTTGTAATTATAATTTCTTCTTTTGCATATATACTTTTCTGCTAGAACAGGACATATGAAAAAAAAGATTGTAAAAATGGCTCCAAGTGGACCAGAACATATAGTCCTAGTAATTAGACACATGACACCCTCCCCACTCTATCCCGATTATACAATTACCCAGTTGAGGATTCTTTGGGCAACTCAGAATTTTAATGAACACTAATAACCCCCCAAACATATGTGCAGTACGAATAGAATTTTTACATTTATTTTTTATTCCTACAGAAAAGAAGAAACACATTTGTACCAAGAGTTCATTTCCCAGTGGTTAAATGTACTGAGAAAAATACATTAACAAAGAATAACTAACAAAATAACTCAAGGATACAACTGCTGTGAATTCAAAAGACAAACAGAACTACAGGAAAAGTGAGTGCACTTGCTTTCACATTTTGCAGCTGTTAATAGAAGTCTTAAACATTTAAAATTTAACTCACACAACCTCCACCAAGTAGCAGAATCAATAAATAAAATTCTAAACAATAAAAATGGATAAACATGGTCAGGTTGTTAGGTTAAGAGCTAAAAATCTCATTTTGCTTCCATGGTTGCGACCCTAAGTCTCAAGGCCTTCAAAGCATAAACATCACAGAAAACCTATCACAAACCACAAACCAACCACAGGAAAACCCTTTTTATACTGTGTATCTTCTGTATTTCATAAATCTAATAAGCCATCAGTTGTAAGATGCATCCTAATTCAGAGATGTCAAAACGTGAAATAAAAAGTATCTCTGGATCAATAAAATATGCTATGTATACATACCCGAGATATGAGAGGAAACTATTTACCAGTTTGAATTACTTCCATACTATTGTGCCAAACAACAATTAAGTGTCAAAACATTGAAATTTTATGTAGTTAAGCTTTTTATTGTTGTTTTCTTTACAGGAACAATAATCCAAACAAGCCTTGAACCAGTCTATAGACAGAAAACATGTTATATAAATTATTATCTATTTTTGCAATACATCAAAATACTGTATTGGTGAAAATAAATAGATAACAAAAAACAATATACATCATTTCTATGTTTGCTATCAGACCCCACAAGTATGTTTGTCTTTACAATTCATTATAGGTGAAAAACAAACTGAAACACAACAGGTATGTACAATTATGCCACTGTTAAGGAGTGCACATTACATGTGTTGAAAGTTTTTCTTCATAAAATGGAACACATTGCTAGGTACACAGAAACATGATTTTGCTCGAAAGAACAGCTGAACTGTTGAGAGAAGCAAGGGCTTCCTAGTGGGCTTCCAGTGTAGCAGATAATATTACCCTGTATAACAGAGTATTATGGGGTTTTGCATTTTCCAAGTCTGTAAGTCTAACCATAAGCAAAACAAAAACAAACCGAAACATTAAGATATACTGACAATCTTATTCCCATATATGACAGAATAGTTCTCATACAATGTTAAGACTGATTTACTTTTTTATTAGGAGCACTTCTTAGGTTTTTGGCATTTCACGTGTCTACACTCAGTGTCCGTTGGCTCCTTCTGAGAGTATCCGTGAAGGTTCGGTAAATTTTGCAGTGAACAAGTAAAAAAGGGCTGGTGTAGGTACCAAAGCCAAAAGGGGCAAATCTTGCTCAAGTTTATCCACTCTGGAAATGGAGATTATTCCATAGGCATGAAGTAACCAGTGGCTGAAGAGAACAATAAGTCTTTTCTTTCTGACCAGAAGATCATAGCAGTTCTATATAATTTTGTAAAAGAAAGAAAAAAGAAATACAGATTATCAGGCTAAATCAGCTGGATAATTTATTTTAATGTAAAATGTATTATTTATAATCTCAGAATCATAAAATACTTGAGCTACAAAAGACTTAAGAAATCACTCAGTCTAGCCACTCCACTTTGTAGATGAGGAAAGTGAGGCTCCTAAGGTCATATAAGCACTCAGCAGCGGCACCCAGACGAGAGCCACGTCATCATGTCTCTGAAGTCCTAGTCTATGCCATCATTCACTCCTGGAAACGCTATAGTTTCTTCTGAAAGAAAGATATAAACTAGAAGGGAAACTCCACTTTATATGCTTTCTTCCTGGCCTGATCCACGGTGGTTATAGATCTACAGGTGAGAAATAGGAGGTACAGAAACCCAACCTCCTTAACTTCTAACATTCCTGGAGCCTGCTGCATGAATAGTAAGGGAGCAGAAATGACCCATGAACACTCTGATTTTCTTTTAATCCTTAATACAGCTGTATAGTATGCAGAAACTAGAAGAATGAAATTAATACAAAATTAATACCTAAATGTGCTAATGAACACATTAAAATGTAATTTGCAACAGGTTAGTTACCAACTTTCTCTTATCATTAAACAGCTCATCAACTCAACCAGTACTAAGCTGTCTTTTCCTGCTTTAGGTCCCCATTTCTGATTCATGCTAATTGAAGTATGTGAACATTTTATATAGGAGATTCACAGGGGCAGAGAAACAAATAAGTTCAAGCTAATTTAACAGTGTATGGCTAATTCTTAACTATGGATAAGATGAAAAAATTCAAGACCGGGTCTGGTGGCTCACCCCTGTAATCCCAGCACTTTGGAAGGCCGAGGTGGGTGGATCATGAGGTCAGGAGTTCGAGACCAGCCTGATCAACATGGTGAAACCCCGTCTCTACTAAAAACACAAAAATTAGCCAGGTGTGGTGGCGTGCGCCTGTAATCCCAGGTACTCAGGCAGCTGAGGCAGAAGAACTGCTTGAACCTGAGAGGCGGAGGTTGCAGTGAGCTGAGATTGTACTACTGCGCTCAAGCCTGAGCAACAGAGTGATACTCTGCCAAAAATAAATAAATAAATAATTAAATAATTAAAAACCGGATTTTATTCAAATATCCAAATATCCAACTATTTCCTCCTTCAAATCTTTCCCTAGAGTTGATAAAAGTGCCAAAACTAATTTGCCTAGCTTCTTTAATTAATTATATTTCAATGCTGGTTAAAGATTACAAAGGAAAAATGAGGATCATCTCCAGATGAAAACAACTGAATAATCACTATAAAAACATTCTGTCTAGTTCTTCCACTATTATCCTACCTAAAAGTCACTATGATTCCTAGATGTTTTCCCCCACTCACTGTCTCACTAAGGCAACAGAAAAAGTGGCATCAACAGCAACCACTCCAAAATAGTTTACAACTTATTTTCTCTCAGTTGAGTTTTCTTTTATGTTATGAATTATGACAAAGCACATATCAATTGTCATGGGTAGTTTGAGACAGTTCAAAGGCCCTAGATTAGCAAGTATAGGATGGAAGAGTACTAAGACACTTCAGATTGGCCTCAGAATAAAGAGTTCTTAAATCAGAGCCACTAACGTATTTAAAAGCAATAATTTAAATGTAATATATTAACAGTAGAGAGCCACATAATTATTTTAGAAAGAAAATGTCAGATTGCATATGAACAAATAATGTACAAGAATGCCCATTTTGATTCAAAGTTTAATGAATACATTTTCCCCTAGATACAGAGTCAAATATACTACTACTTCTCATTTGTTGTTCATGTTTTTCACCAATAGCTTAGTTCCTTAATAGAATATCTGAAAATATAAACGTTATGACATGATGTTCTATTCTACCCAGTGACTAAAAATATGTCAAAAGATACTTTTTTGGCCAAAAATATTCTGAAAATAAAGACATATATAGTTTTTAAAAAGGAGTTCTTTATAATAGTTGCCTTACACTGAAATATTAAAAAGTTAGAGGTACAAAATGGATACCGTGAAAAAGGAACAGTATCAGAATAATGTGGCTATTAATGTTAGCTCCAAATCCCCCAACATTATGGGATAAAAGTAAACATCCATAATCAAGAAAATAAAATTTGTGATAAAACAAAGAAGGATATGGAACACGTAATTATTGATGACTGTTAATGTTGCCATTGTAAAATAAAGTTTAAAATTAGTTCTAAATATAAAACATTTTTATGGTTTTTCTCAAAATAGTGCTAGTAACTTTCAACATTTCAATAATTATATGTTTGCTACACGGGTAAATTGTGTGAAACGACTTTTCTCTTTCATGCTGGATAGTTGAGCCTGACTACTTCACTCTTTCACTCATTTCCCAGGGAAATATATAGTCTGGTACACAACTTTTCATAAAGTTAACAAGCCAAAAGCTACCAAGTGGCATCAATCAACCAAAGATTACTAAAACAATTAGTTGTACTATATCATATCATATGGACTATTCTGATATTTACTTGTCAAATTTATCAAAAAAAAGTCTTTAACAAAGGAAAAAAAGACTTCCTACCTCTATTTCAGAAGCAGACATGTATACAGCCAGAGTAACCAAAGATAACACTAATATAATGTATGGGAAGGCATAATCTGAAAGAGAAGCATTGGTGTTATGTTGGAAAGTAAACAAATTTTCTCAATAAACCATCAAATAAATTCAAATAGTAACTCTTAGAGTCAAATCCTTTCTCAACCAGTTCTGTGAGACTTACAACCTAAGGTTCTGAGGCAGGGGCCAGCAAGCTTTTTCTGGAAAGGGCAAGATAGTAAATGATTTTAGCCCTGCACGTCTCTGTCTCGATTACCCAGCTCTGCAGTTGTAGCAGGAAAGCAGCCATAGACAATACATACATGAATGGACATGGCTGTGTTCCAATAAAAACTTTATGGACAGTAAAATATAAATTTCATACATTTTTCACATCAAGAAATATAAGTCTTTTGATTTTTTAACCATAAAAAAATGTAAAACCTATCCTTGGGCCAGCTTTGAAGAACCCTGCCTTAAGGCATCCAGTGAATGTAAATAATTAACTTCTCTCCTCTGCATTCTAGAATAGTACCGGTTATGTACTAAACTTAGGAGAATTCAAAAAATGGTCAAATAATTTTCTGTGTTTTGTGGTCCAGGTGGGGAACCTCAGTTGAGAAAGGTTATCTATAAGAGTAACTCAGCTTTAATTAATCTTTAGAAAAGGTCATTTATCAATAAACTTTAAAGGATAAAGAGATCATTCAGTATTCTTAATATCAAAATTCCAGCAATCTCTACTTTAAATACAGTACAATAATACTTTAAGCAAATTTTTTCCTCTAAAACACCACTTTTCTCTTAAAATGTTTCAAATTTATAACACACTAAAATAAATGGACAAATTGAGAAAAACACCTTTGAATTATTTTTCATACAATTATCTGTAAACGACTTCAGTTTATGAAACTACTAATCATTCTACATTGCAGTAGAACCCATTTGGAACAATTTCAAATGTTAACTCAGGATTCAGCACCAGAAACTGAATTATCTATACAGGCCTGATTCCAACTTACTAAAGAACTAAATGACTTATTTGACATTTATAACCTTTTATTTCATAGACAGTGATTAGGTCCTCAATCAGCCTTTCAAAAAATAAAAAATAAAAAACAAAACTCTAACTTATACGTAGCTAAACAATGTTGCTAATGATACAAACTGAAGACCTGGTAGTAAAAAGCCATATACAGTAAAAAGGAATAAAGAGGAAGTTTCTAACTAAGCCCAAATTTGTGGGGAGTAGAGGGAGGTGCCGGGCTAGAGATAGGATTTGGAGTGGTTCTTAAATTCTAGTGCATAAAAAAACTTGAGATTTTGTGCAACCAGGTCTGGAGTAGGGTCTAGGGATATGCATTTTAGTTCCCCTGGTGGTTCAGATACAGATCACACTTAGAAGCTGGCTTCCATAATACTTGCAAAAAAGGTAAAAGTTTGTCACTGACATATTCCTAATCATGCCCTAGACCCCCAGTCCTTCACTATCTTAAGCTATCAGAAGCTTCCTGGTGCTCTGCTTTCCTCAGACTTGCTATATCCCTACAAACCAAAAATTATCTTTTTTTCAACATCATAACATTATGAGTTGGTAGTGCAAATGAACAGTACCTCCTTGAGTCCCCCATGAATGTGTTTTGAGTGGAAGCTTGTTAAAATGATAAAAACATTCACTGTGGGAAAAGTTATTTTTCAATACAGACAGCTACAATACAGAAAGCAATGCTGTCTGGCATCTCTTTGGGTTAGCTTTCCAAACGTTTTCCTGCTTTTCACAGTGTTTCCCTTGTTTCCATTTCATAGCCAAAAGGCTCTACACAATAGCACCACCTGAGGTCTAGAACCTACAGATTTGAGGTCGGCCAATTCTTAATTCTTCCAGCCTAGCAGAAACAACTACCTGTAATCTTTTGGCTATTCCACGAATACTGAAACTGAATTCATTTCTCTTCACCAACCTATTTGCTGCTTCTAATATTCATATTTATCCATCCACTGGTTACTAAGTCAAAAAGCTACTTTATAAAATTCTTGTCCCATTCCTTCAACCCCTATATTTGTTACCTAGCTTAGTGAATGCTATCTTTGAAGCTGCTCCTCATTCCCAGTGTTTTGCTACGATAGGTAGAGAATTCCACATGTATCAAGTTATCTTTCTACAGTGCAAATGTAATCATGTCACTCTTCTGCCTAAATCCTTTTAAGAACAGGTCCCTATTCCCTAGAGCAAGAATGGCAACCTCAAATGACACAGAGGCTAGCCAGGAAGGTACAGGGAATGGGCCAAATCTAACAGGGAGAGAGGAGCTAGAGGGAACTATAGATTTTCAAATCCTGTGCAGGCCAAATGAAACAGTTCATCTGTAAACCAGAATACGGGGGATAACAGAATTTCTGGTTCCCTTGGTCTTACCCTCAAGCCCCACCATCACCTTGAACCAAATTACATTCCTAAACTATATTACCAAATTACATTACCAAGCTCCATATAAAGGATGATGTCCAACATCCTTGGAATGTTCAATGTCACATATTCAAAAGAACCACACTACGTTTTCTCAGCCACTGGGCTTGCCTGCTTTATCTCCTGGTTGTATGTGAGGTTTTCAACCGTGAATTTTTCTTATTCTTTTGAGTCACAGTTTGGTCTAAATGGTTACTAAACAAATGAATTAATGGTTACATTAAAATAAAAGATATTGAGGACTTTTTACTATAAAAGGTTTTCATAAATGAACTTAGAAACCTAAGACCTTACTTAATAATAAACAGTATACATTATCAAAACTAATTTTCATAAATTCCTAAATAAAAACCAGTGTCTATTTCTTATGATATACTTAGATTTTTAAAATCTTCTAATTTGGTCATAAGCTTCAAATGCAAAGTATTCTCTAAACAGAAATCAGTTTTGATTAGCTGTCACTGATTTCTTGAGAATTTTTATTCCATTCCAAGAAATCCATGACTTTTCTTTATAATACTGATCATATGTTTTAGCAAAAACATACACTAAGGTTTATTTTCAAGGATTAAACAAATTAGCTGGACACAGTGGCTCATGCCTATAATCCCAGCACTTTGGGAGGCCAAGGTGGGCGGATCATGAGGTCAGGAGATCAAGACCATCCTGACCAACATGGTGAAACCCTGTCTCTACTAAAAAAAAATACAAACATTAGCCGGGCATGGTGGCACATGCCTGTAATCCCAGCTACTCGGGGGGCCAAGGCAGGAGAATCAATTGAACCTGGGAGGCGGAGGTTGCAGTGAACCAAGATCATACCACTGTACTCCAGCCTGCTGACAGAGTGAGATTCCATCTCAACAAAAAAAAAAAAAAAGAAAGGATTAAGCAAACTATTTTAAGGAAAAAGTTCCAAAGTTAAATCTAGAGGAAATATTACTGCATACAATAATAAATACATTTCATTGACTTGACTGTACCCATCATACTTACATAAAAGGCCTCCACCAACTGCCTGAAGCACAGTTAAAATTGGGAAGAAGTAAAGTGCAGCATAAATACTTTTAAATCGATCAGACTTCCCTAACCCACATGCAACCTTCTTCACCAGAAGAGGTCGGAGCAGCATCATTAATACCAAGCAGAATGCATAATAGATAAATACAATGGTGTATCTGTAAAATAAAATAGAGAATTTGTAACATCAAAAATGTTTTAAAAATGTTTTTATCCTTGATCACTTTTAAATGAAAGAGCCTAAAAAATGTTTAAAAAACATATTTACTCTATCCATTGGATATTCAGATTGGCAGAAGGCTGGCCAAACAGGCTCTCATACACTGCTAGCAAAGGTACAATGGTTGCTTTCTTAGGCAGTCTGGAAATATGTATCAAAAATCCTAAAACTGTTTATCCCTTTTGATTCAGCAATTTTACCTGTAGAAATTTATCCAAGGGAGACAACCAGGGATACATAAAAAAACCCTATTGTATAAGGATTTTTATTGAATCACTTATAATAAAGAAAAGTCCTAAAGAAAACAAATATTCAATTATAGGAAACTGGTTATATTTTATAGTATATTCATGCTGCAATATTATGCAGACATAAAAATCTAGTTATGAAATAAATGTTAACAAAATTAACTGTGCCTAATATATTAAGTACCAACAGCTTACAAAATAGCATGTCATAGTATAGCCTTAATAGTCTTTAAAATGTATGCATACACATGCAGAAATAAAACTGGAAAGACAAAATTTTTAGCAGAATCCATCTCATGGAATAGAATTACAGATTATTTTATTCTGTGTGTGCTTTTATTCTATGTTTTTGAAATGTCCCATTTTTAATGTAACTTTTATAATCAGAAAAAAAAAGCTGTAGAAAGAGCTCTGTGTCACCAGACTTCTAGTACTTTATTTTGAATAATGGGACTTTTATCCACATAGTTCTACCTTAATTTTCCTGAGTATTTTCAAATTGTTTTTACTATCTTGCTACTCAAACCCTCTCCCTATACAGGGGAGTGTCCTCCGAAGTCAGCAGTCATTTCAGAACACGGACCACATGCTTTCTACCCACACAGCAAAATGATACCATAATCCTGTGTTTCTGTGATGCTTTTAGGTTCAGTCCTGTACGGTAATACATTAGTACATGTTTGATCTCTTGGGTGATACTTTTTTTGTCTTGTTATACCACCCCCAACCAACATCAAAAGAAAACAAAATCTATCCATTCCTGCAACTTGTAGTTCCTTAAGAGCGCTAAAAAAGATGATTTTAATCAAGAGGAAACCATCATGTGTTACCTCTTCTAATGAATTAGTTTCCTAGTCTTGTTTGCTACCTCCTATCAACAGCAAAACAAAACAAAATCTGTCCATTCCCACAACTTGTAATTCCTTAAGAGCTCCAAAAAGATTATCACTTTAATCAGAAGGAAACCATCCTGTTTCTCCAAATGAACTAGGAAACTAGTTTGTGGAAGTGATTACATTTCCCACTCCTGCTTTCCATCAGAAGACCTCATCCCATTCCACTCTTCCCCTCTTTCAATCCATGCTGCCTACATGTGGGGATAGTTTAAATTTGACAAACTAAAGCTAATTATTGCTATAACAGTAATAACTGCCATTTTCCATAACTCATTCTTAAAGTTTTAGTAATGTAAAAGTTATTTTTTGCAGTAAGTTATAATGATAGAAGCTTACATGTTTTTTCATGCCTCATCTAATCTGTTTCCCCTTAAAACTATAACTATCAGTAAAGTAGTGTGGTATTTTTCAATTTGTAAGAAACTAGGCTATATATACATTGGGAAAAACAGCCTTCATTTGTCAATGCACTAGTGTTCCAAAGGTTTCTGGTAATTGTGTGCTATTACTTTTTGTTGACTTGCAAAAAAAAAATTACTATGACTTGTGGTAGCCCTACAACCTTCAGAAATGTTTAGCCCAGTCTGACCAAACATTTATATTTAGAATGGTTAGGTAAATAAATAATATGCCTAAACCCAATGCTATAAGACAGTATAATATCTCATAATTTTAAAAATCACTGTTCTGTATAATTAATAAAACAAAGCAGGCAAGCTGTTCTACAATGACTGTTGGTAAAGGTGCTGAGGAAGAAAAACAAACAAACAATCTTGATTCAGGGATAGTGAATAGATGGAAAATGTCCTAATCAATGAAGCTGTGTGATGATTATGATTGACAGAGAGTGCTGCCACAAGATTCTTAGCCTACACTCAATTCAGCAGAAAAAGTGCTATAATAAATTAGAAGTGACTATTACAGGTGCAGATGAGTGTTGGTAGTACCTGTTTGCCATTTCTCTTCCAATCTTATATTTTCTTACCCTCCTAATATAGGCTTTACAAATATTAGTATAAGTAACATAAATGAGACTGTTGGTAAGTAAGTCTGATTTTGTTTTAAATAAGATTACCTTATATCTTATTTAAATATAATATTCATTTCACTTATTAAGTTTTCCAAATAGGACTATGTTAAGTTATGCAAGGCCTCAGGAGAGTTACATGACAAGAGGGTAATTAATGCTTAGAGCTAAGCTCTACGAATAAACAAAAAAGACATTATCGGTCTTTTATATAGTATTTTATATAAAAATTATAGCTATATATGTATATATATGTGTGTGTATATATGTGTGTGCATGTATATTATATATATGTGTGTGTGTATATGTGTGTGTGTGAATATATATATATATATTTAAAAAAAAAACTAATTTGTCATACTTAAAAACTGGCAGTGAAAGGCCCCAGTGGCTCACGCATGTAATCCCATCACTCTCGGAGGCCAAGGTGGGTAGATCACTTAAGGTCAGGAGTTCAAGACCAGCCTGGTCAACATGGCAAAACCCCGTCTCTCTACTAAAAATACAAAAATTAGGCAGGCATAGTGGCACATGCCTGTAATCCCAGCTGGGGAGGCCGAGGCACAAGAATCACTTGAACCCAGAAGGCAGAGGTTGCAGTGAGCTGAGATCTCGTGCCACTACACTCTAGCCTGGGCAACAGAGCGAGACTCTGTCTCAAAAACAAACAAAAAACTGGCAGGCAGAAAAGATGATTTTCATTTTTCTATATCTGGTTGTTTTGTACCTATATGCATGTCTATGTTTTTGATGTTTTATTATTAAGAAGTTGCTCAAAAAGGACTAATTTCCCCGAGCATATTATGTACTGAAAGCCCACTACAATTATAAGAATATAAATATCAGACTTCTATTTTCCCTTTCCCCCAAAAAATATCAAAATGAATTTGATTCATTTTCTAGTTCTAGAATTTACAAAAATTCATAAAAATTCTGAAACTGGAATAGTCTGGCATAATTGCATACAGAATTTTATGAATTTAATATTTTTAAAACAAAACATTCTAATAGAAATTACACTTATTTGGGGAGAAAAAAAGAAAATACACTAACCCAAACACTCTAATAATGCCAGTTACTATAAAGTGCTTCCTATATCTAAGTTATACAGTATCTGAGAATGTGTGGATTAATTTAATCCTCAAGACACCTTATAAGGTATCATTATTCCCATTTTACCAATGAGAAAACTGAAGTTACAAGAGGCTGTTTACATGTTCAAAGTAATACAGCAGCTGGCAGACCCAGAACTCAAACTCACACCTGTTTTTGTCTCCAAAGGCCATAAAATCTATAATAATTCTCAGAGATTAAAAAAAAAAAAGATCTTAAGTCGAAATAAACACTTACAGTGGGTAGACAGCTTCATGAGTACAGTGCACTGTGGTAACGTAATCTGGACTTGGGTTGTAAAGCATCGTGTACCAGTCAGAAAGCATCAATACTCGACATGAACGAATATAAAGAACACCAACTGGATCACTCACAAGTAAGGTGATAATAGCTGCCATGCTGCATTCAAATAATGCAGTGATGTGTTGGAAAAGTGCACTGGAACTAGAGAAGGAAAAGAGGCATGATTACTAGAAAAATTGCAATATTTAAATGGCTTAAATAAAACATGTACATGTGTCAAGATACAGATTTCTAAATATATAAGAAAAGTCAAACAAAACCTACTCAAGAGTATAACCTTTTATTCTCAAAAGGGATAAATAACACTGTAGCAGTATTATCTAAATGTGTAACAGAAAAGTAGAAATTAGATCTACCTTGTATCTTTAGTATCTTGCCAAACTGTTGCTAAAAATTTCTTAGTTATCTGTATATTATTTAATCTTAATAGATGGTAGGTAACATATGTTTGTTATAAAGTACAGTAATTATAATATTATACGCTCATTTCCTACCCAATAACTAGAACACTGTCAACAATTTATGACTACTTCTTTGTTCCTCCCCATCCATCCCTCTGTCTCTCCCTTAGAGGCAACCATGTACCAAACTGCTTTTATCACTTCTTTCTAGAAAGTTTTTATCCCAATTGTATTTATGCTTCACAACTATTCTGGTTAGTTTTGCTTGTTTTTGAATGCTATAAAATAGTATCACACTAATGGAAGTCTTCTGACATTTTTTTCCACTCAAAATTACATTTCCAACTTTCATCCATGCTATTGCTTACAGCTGAGGTTCAGTCATTTTTGCTACTGTATTAGGATTCCACCGTGTGACAATACTGTGATTTGTTTCTCCATTCTGCAGTTAGTTAAATGTGTTGCAAATCTGTTCCTCTTAGTCTGTGGGCTCAATTTTCACTTTCTTTGTGAAGTCTTTTTATAAACATGTTCTAAATTTTAATAGACTGGGCTTTATTTTTTTTTTCTACTTAGCAGTTTAAATGTTTTAAAAAGTCCTTCCACACCATGAGATAATGTGTGTGTATCTCACACACACACTGTTTTCTTCTAAAAATGTTAAGGTTTTGCATTTCACATTTATCTTTAATTCACCTAGAAGAGATTTCTGTGTCAAAGGTAAGGTAGAATCTAACTTTACTTTTTCCCATTTGAACTGTCAATTGTCCCAGCAGCAGCATTTTACTGAACAGGTACTTCTTTCCAACCCTACCCTCCCAACTAATTTGCCATGGCACTTCTGTCATATAAAGTTTCATATATAACTGTGTTTTGGCTCTCTATTCTGTTTCTTGAGTCCATTTATCTATTCCTGAGCCAGAAGAATAATATGATCATAATCCTTGATGTTACATACATTTTTTCTACTTCTTTGGTGGTCTTGGCTATTTCCTGGCCCTTTGCTCTTCCATATAAATTTGAAAATTGGCTTGTCAAGTGCTCAGATAAATCCCATGTAGCTTAGCTATCTTGGTCTGGCTATGTCACAATACTTTACTGTACGTGGAATATAGGAAATAGTTTCATATATTTATCTTATACTCAACCTTTTTATTAAATGGTTTTGTTATTTCTAATATCTAGCCTATAGGTGACTTTGAGTTTTCTACTTGAACATTTTCCATTATGTGGAATAATTTCCATGATTCCATTGCATAGCAAACTACCTCAAAACTTGGTGGCTTGAAACAAGAACCACTGATCATTTCTCACTATTTTGTGATGTGACTGGGCTCAACTGGGCAGTTCTTTCCGCTCCACATGATGTCAGCTTGGAAAGCACTCGTCTAGAGGCTTGACCATGCTGCAGCATTTAAAAGGACTAACATGGCTGCAGTTAAGTGCTGGCTGTTGGCTGGAAGCACAACCAAGGCTGTTAAAAGGTATGCCTTGGTTCTCTTCCACATGGCTTCTGTTTTCAATATTATGCAGTTTAATTATAATGCATGTAAGTGTAAATTTCTATTTATTCTGCTTGGGATGTGTTTTGCTTCTGGGATCTGTGAATCTGTTACTTATTATTTTTGTAAAACCTGAAGCCAGTATCTCTCTCTTTTTTTTTTTTTTTTGTTATAATACTTTAAGTTCTAGGGTACACGTGCGCAACATGCAGGTTTGTTACCTATCTATACATGTGCCATGCCAGTATCTCTTAAAATACTAGCTCTCCTTGGCCGGGCGCACTGGCTCACGCCTGTAATCCCAGCACTGTGGGAGGCCGAGGCAGGCGGATCACGAGGTCAGGAGATAGAGACCATCCTGGCTAACACGGTGAAACCCTGTCTCTACCAAAAATACAAAAAATTAGCCACGTGTGGTGGTGGGCGCCTGTAGTCCCAGCTACTGGAGAGGTTGAGGCAGAATGGCATCAACACGGGAGGCAGAGCTTGCAGTGAGCTGAGATCACGCCACTGCGCTCCAGGTTGGGTGACAGAGCGAGACTCTGTCACAAAAAAAAAAAGAAAAGAAAAAGAGGTTAGGACAGTGGAAATCTGAATTTCTAGCCTCTCTGGGGAGGCAGCGGGAGAGAAGAGGGTTGAGAAGAGCTGGAGGTTTTTCCACAGGATGTCAGCCAGAAAAAAAAAAAAAAAATACCAGCTCTCCTTCATAGTCTCTATTTTTCCAGAGACCCTAATTAGATACTATGGGCAAAAACTTAACAAAACATTTATGAGAATCGGGCCTTCAGTTAACTCTCTAGCTCTTTTCCTCTGGAAACCTGGTAAGGATAGAATGTCAACTATATTGCTAGGCAACACCGCTTATGATACAAATGATCCTGACTGGTAAATTACATCTGGACTGGGGAGAACCATAAATGAACTATAAATGCCTGATGGGGATACCATGGTTTGGCTTTTTTGAATTCAGTGACTCTTGTAACTGGCATGTCACTTGCAGGACCCCAGAAGTTCATGGAATTGTTATGAGAGAGACTGGCTCCTGTGAAGTGTAAGACTTGAAGCCTGCACGACTCCCACATCCACCCAACATGGATCTCACCTTCTTGCACCTGATTTTCCATCTCCTTCTTTCTCAGTGCTATATGCCATTATTTATATGCATTCTTTTCTAGTTCACTAATTCTATCTTCAACTGTTTAATCTGCTGACTACCTTTTTTTTTTTATTTTGGCAAGTATAAATTTTCATTTCTAAAAGTTCCCTTTTCTTCCCCCAATACATCTGTTTATTCCAAATAATCTTATTATTATGGACAGCTTGTGACTACACCCTTACTTTCTTTATAGGTAGCAGTTACATATCCCATAGGTGAAAGTCCATTATCTGTGTCCTTTGAGAGCATAAATATATTGTTTGTTGCATCTACCAATAAGTCCTAGTGCTATTTTATTTAGTAACCACAGACTATGAGGTCATTACTAGATCTTAATGAGCAAGAGTCTTATAGGGTTAAACTGAGAATGGGGAAGCTTTCCAGCAAAGAGGCTCTGCTACTTTTGCCAGCAGCTATGGCCACTACTACCTTGGGCTTCAGGCCCTTGAGGGTCTAGTCTTGGCAGAGGCTGCCCAAGATTCAGTATCCAAATAACACTGCTGCTACCAGCAATTGACCTTAGACAACCCTCTCATCCCAACTGCCTGCCTTGTCACTCTGGCCTAACTCAGGGGGGGGTTGGTTTGTGTTTTGAAAGAGAAGAGTTCCTGGAGATCTCTCCATCTCCAGCTGGGACCAGCAATGTCTCACATAGTTTATCTATCCCAGACTTTAGTTATTTCATGCAGGTGGGTCACTTGGAGCTCCTAATTAACTCACATTGTTGGAAGCAGAACTCCTGTGCCATTTTACAAAGATGAAAACACTGAAAACATAAATAAACACACATTCACATTATGACATTTTTGCTTCCTTACAGAATTAATACTTTTAGAGGCAAAATCCCAACTTCATTATTTCTTGCCATTACTTTGATAACGTTCTTACTGGTCTTCTTGTCATGTTCTCTTTTATGTCTTTTTTATGTGTCTGTCTGCAGCCAGACACATAATCTTTACAAAATGAAATACAATTTTAAAACTCCTCTCATTAAACTAATTTTGAGTCTTTTTGTCTTTCTGGAAAAATACCCCTTGCCAGCATCGTCTTCTATATTTCCTGGCCACGCTAAAAGGCTTTAAGTTCACTTGTGCCTCCACACATCGGGGCATGCATCACCCTCCACCTCAAAACACGTTTTACCTATCTGCCAAACCATGCATCCTTCCAGATCAGCTCAGGGGTTATCCCCAGTTTTTAGGAACATTTGTTAAGACACCTCCAGCCCCAATCTATCCGGACTGTAAGTGCAAAGTTTCAGGAAATTGTTAAGAGATGGCCCTTGTGTTCCTTGTTACCAATTTCCTAGGCAAAGCATAGTTGTACAATTCCCTTTTTAAACCCACCTCCTTTCCTGTCTGAGCATCAGTCACTCCTCGCCTTCCCTCAAACCAACCTCTAGTCTCTGCTTCAAGTTTCTCCCTCAAAACACAGCTGATATCTGAATTCAAATGCATTTGGTGAAGACATACCTATGGCCTTGAGCTCTTCTCTACTTTGGGGCTAAGAACTTCCTGCCAATTGACTGGGCAATTATTCTGTTTCAGCTTTATCACATCTCTGTTCTCACCCCATCTCTCATCATTCTATTAATATACCAGAAATTAAAAGCTGGATGAAAGATGCTATTTTAAAAGTATTTTTATAAATTATTCTGAAAAATTATAAATGCTTTCCCAATGTAAATAACCACCCTGGATTTATCAGGTATGCCCCAGAAAACCGCTGATTCTATTTCCATCTGGACCATCCTTTCCATTTCCATTCCAACTACCACAGTCTATTTCTTTGACAACAGTCTTCTATTAAATATCTCACCTCTAATCTACCCTCCACAGAAATTTTCTTCCTAAAATATACATCAAATGATGCCACTTCCATACACCAGATCTTCACCAATAAATGATTCACTCAAATAAGGAGTGATTTTTTTGGATGCTCATTCCCTCCATATCTCATGTTGAAATGTAATCCTCAACGAGGTGGGGCCTAGTGGGAAGTATTTGGGTCACGAGAGTGAAAGCTTCAGGAATGACTTGGAGTTGTGCTCACAGTAATGAGTGAGTTCTCACTCTAGGAGTTCATGTGAGATTTGGTTGTTTAAAAGATCCATGGTGGCTCACACCTGTAATCCCAGCACTTTGGGAGGCTGAGGCAGGAGGACTGCTTGCGCCTAGGAGATCGAGACCAGCCTGGGCAACATAGAGAGACCCTGTCTCTACAAAATATAAAAAATTAGCAGGGTGTGGTGGTACACACCTGTAGTCCCAGCTACTTGGATGGCTGAGTCGGGAAGATCACTTGAGCCTAGGAAGTCAAGGTTGCAGTAAACAATGATCACACCACTGCAATATAGCCTAGGTGTCAAACCAAGACCTTGTCTCGAAAAATAAAAATAAATAAATAAAACATAAAAAAATAAAAATGAAAGAGGTACCTCCTCCCTCTCTCACCATGTGGTTCCCCTTTGCCTCCTGCCTCCTCTCACACTGGTACCCCTCTGCCTTCTGCCATGATTATAAGCTTCCTCAAGCCATCACCAGAAGCAGATGCCAGCACTATGCTTCATGTACAGCCTGCAGAACCATGGGCCAATTAAACCTCTTTTCTTTATAAATTACCCAGTCTCAAGTATTCCTTTACGGCAACACAAATGGACTAACAGAAAACTGAAACTGAAGGGTAGGGCAATACTATAAAGACACCTGAAAATATGGAAGCAGCTTTGGAGCTGGGTACCAGGCAGAGGCTGAAAGAGTTTGGAGGTCTCAGAAGAAGACCGGAAGACGAGGGAAAGTTTGGAACCTCTTACAGCCTTAAGTGGTTATGACCAAAATGCTGACAGAAATATAGACAGTGAAGGCCAGGCTGATGAGGTCTCACATGGAAATAAGGAAGTTATCAGGAACTGTAGTAAAGGTCATCCATATTATGCCCTAGCAAAGAACTTTGCTGCAGTGTGTCCATGTCCTATGCATCTGTGGAAGTTGGAACTTAAGAGTGATGACTTAGGGTATCTGGTGGAAGAAATCGTTAAGCAACAAAGCATTCAAGATGTGCTGTGGCTATTTCTAACAGCCTATGATCAGACAGATGTGGGAGCAAAGGAATGACTTAAAAATTGGGACTTATACTTAAAGGGAAAGCAGAGTCTAAAAGTTTGGAAAATTTGCAGCCTGGCCATGTGGTAGAGAAGAAAAGAGCATTTTCAGGAGAGGAATTCAACGAGGCTGTAGAGCAACAACTTGCTAGAGAGGTTAGCATGGCTAAAAGAGAGCCAAGTGAGCCAAGTGCTAATAGCGGAGACAATGAAAAAAAGGCCTTGAAGCCATTTCAGAAGTCTTTCAGACTGCCTGTCCCACCACAGGCCCAGAGGCTTAGAAGGAAAGCATAGAAAGTAAGCTGTCTTCCTTATTTTTCTCTTTTAATAGCACTCTTTGTTTTGTTGTTGTTGTTTTGTTTTAAGCACTCAACTTTCTGAGTGACTTTTAAATTGAAATCAGAAGGAAAAGAAGGTAGCTAGATAAGTTGCAGTTAGATGAAGAAGAGAGTATTTCAGACAGCAGAAAGAGTTTGGAGGAAGGGAAAGAACCTAAAATAGGAAAGATCCTGAGCAGTTGGAGTAACTAAAAGAAAACCAGTATGGCTGAAATGTACTAACGCAGAATTTGATTTCCCATTCCCAGCAGATTAAAGTTCACATGCTTATCAAGAACCTTCACATTCTGGCCCCAACCTACCTTTCCTACTCCCTTTTATATTACTTTTCTTCATCTGCAACCCACTCTTGACTACCCCAGATTACTTCCATTCCTACCTACCACAGATCACATATTTCATACCTCTATGCCATTATTCATGCTGTTTCCTCTGCCTAAAATGTTCCTTTTTTGAAATCTTTCAGATCCCATCAGGCATAATTTATCTCTCCATTCTTTGTAACTCCAGAGTACTTTGTTTATAACTCTTCCACTACATTTCTAAGACTGATTTATAATTATGTACACATTTGTTTTCTCCACAAGATTATGACTATAAGCCATGTCAGTTATTTTTATATCTCCTTCCCTGATCTTTCAAACATAAAATGCAGTGCTTAGTAAATGTGTGCTGATTTAGTATGTTAGTATTAGGTTACAGCTATATTGTTTTTAACTACATCATACTAGATTATTAGTATTAAATTAAATTACAAAGAATGTGTTCCATAACAATAAATAGCTTGTCATCATAACCAATTTTGTGTAGAAAACCAATAAGGATTACAGTTGAGAAGTAAAAAAGTATTCCTTCAAGATCATTGAAAGTAAAACGGACTAAGGACAGTTCCCCTAAAAATTACTAAGTCATGCCCTATTGTTAAGTTTTCTTGTGACAGTTAAGAATAATCTGAAGATAAAGGAAAAACATGTTTACCACTTTTAAAACAGAAGAGGCAGAATTACTTAATAAGGTCTTCTGAGTGATAATTATTCCAACATGAGTTGGATATAACAACAGCCAGATACAGTCATAGAAATGTGCTAACCTCTTTTTCCCCGAGTACCATTCAATGAAGAACCAATGTAAAACCAGAGGAAGCATTGCCATAAATCCAAGATAGAGCCAATCATAAAGTTCAGGAGATTCCGTGCAAGGCTGACAATATTTCTGTGCATTCGTTCTCTGTCCTCTTGGGCATACCTACAATACATAAAACCAGTATTTTGTGTACAGATATTATTTTAGAATATTAACACCCCCCCAAATCATTCTATAAGACATCCCATTTCAGTTTAAATATTTAAGTTTACATGTGCAGCTTTTAGAACTAAAAAAGGCATAAGTAAAATAAAAAGAAATCTATATTGTATGTGCTATATTTGTACAATGCTCTTAAAAGATTCCTTTTACTAAGTTACTAAAATAGTTGACTAACATTCAATGAAAAATCTAGTTATGAACATTATATAAGAATAATTGCAGATAAATGTTCTGGATTCATGATGTTCAACTTACTGTACAAGATATGGTACTAAATCATAAATTAGAAATTATTAAATTATTAAATGTTTTAACAAATAATAGACATCAAAATGCCAACATAAACAATGACTACATTAATGCCTCCATATTCTTTTATATTTCTTTATTTTATTTTTTTTTGAGATGGAGTCTCCCTCTGTTGCCCATGCTGGAATGCAGTGGTGCGATCTTGGCTCCCTGCAACCTCCACTTCCTGGGTTCAAGCAATTCTCCTGTCTCAGCCTCCCAAGCAGCTGGCACTACAGGTGCACACCACTATGCCCAGCTAATTTTTTTCTATTTTTAGCAGAGACGGGGTTTCACCATATTGCTCAGGCTGGTCTCGAACTCCTGACCTCAAGTAATCCACTCGCCTCGGCTTCCCAAAGTGCTGGGATCATAGGTATGAGCCACTGCGCCTGGCCCTCCATATTCTTTTATAAATTAGTGAGTATAATAAGAAAAAATATTCTACATGTGAAAATATTTCAAAAGCAAACAGATTTTACAACATGAAATAAGACACAAACATAAGACTTACCCCACATTCTCCATATATTTCAGTTGAGCCGTTTTTAAATAATAGGGTCTTCCCACAGTAAAGTCCAAGGCATGCTGGTTGGATATCGACAGCTTTTTAAAAACAAATGCCAGTATAGTAACATCTTTTGTGATTATAAAAAAAAATGCAATAATAGCTGAAGCACTTGGCAGAAATAACAGTTTCAAAATTTTAAATAACACATATTAGACAAAAGTCTTCAAGCATTTTTAAATTTAAATTTCTCCTTTTACACTGTGACACTGCAGACAGTTATCCTGGAACCTTGCTGTTAATACTGTGCCTTATGATTAAGGTCCTCAACCAGCAGAGCAGGATCTATCCCCAGGACTCAAGGCCCAACCCGGTACGATCAGAGGATACTTTTGAGTTTCACTGACTATAAAGTTCAAATATACATACATTTTTAAATTAGAGCACCAGTAGAGGGTCACCAGCTTCTATTTTGCCCAGTCAGGACATTAAGCACCCACATGTAGACATACAATTGTCATCTATGTTCATAACAGAACACATTTTCACATGGGAAAAGCAGAGAACATAATTTCAGAACAGAGGTACGTAAATTACCTTTATAAAAAGCTTCCTACTTTGTCCTAGCTTTTATCATTTTTGTGGAGGATAAGTGAAAATTTCATCAAGGCTGTCATTGGGCAAATATTTAGGAACCACTGCCTTAAAATTAATCCCCTGATCTAAAGGCTTAGGGGAAAAGCTGCTATTCCTTACATAAAAAACCCCAACAACTAAGAACCTAATACGTTGTCTCTGACCTTATTCACAAGAAGAAATTATGGAAGGAGTTTTCTTCATCAGTGACATCTGATTCCCTTCATTCATTCATTGATTCATCCAATAAACATATACTGAGCTTGATTCCACTGGTTAGGGGCCACTAAAAGTCCAAGGAGAAACAGAATTCCTGCCAAAACCCTACAATCTAATGTGGATTAAAACAAACAAACAGGCTGGGTGAGGTGGCTCACGCCTGTAATCCCAGCACTTTGGGAGGCCGAGGTGGGCAGATCACGAGGTTAGGAGTTCGAGACCAGCCTGGCCAAAACGGTGAAACCCCGTCTCTACTAAAAATACAAAAATTAGCCAGGCGTGCTGGCGCACCTGTAGTCCCAGCTACTCGGGAGGCTGAGGCAGGAGAATCACTTGAACCTAGGAGGTGGGGGTTGCAGTGAGCCAAGATCGCGCCACTGCACTCCAGCCTGGGCTACAGAAGGAGACTCCTTCTCAAAACAAACAAACTGTGGTCTACATGTGAATTAATTTGAAAAAGTATGCATCTTTGACTATTCTTGAACAATCATTTCCAAATTATTCACAGATTCACAATCCAGACTGCCTGGTCTACAGTGCCCTCTCTCCTTTCACGTTCAAGTAGACTTTTTATTTCCTTCTCCTTATGCTGCTGAGAGAAAAAGAGAAGCAGCATTGATTAAAATTCCTCAAGTTTAATATTTTCGCTTTTAACAAATTTCGGACTTAGCTTTTTAAACCCACTGGCCTCTTTAATGGGCGCTTTTTTTTGTAATCCATTGTAATCACAATGTTCTAAATTAATACATGAAAATGAATTGTTTCAGGTTTTTCAAGAATGCAGAAGTTAAGGAATTGGAAACTTCTGTATGGGTTTTACATCTAGTAGATGCTTAATAAATACATGTGAATATCAATAATCTAAAGTTTCTCAAAATCCAAGGCCTGAAAACCAGTATGATAAACTGAACTGAAATAAACAGCCTATCACCTACTAAACAAAACCCAGGCTCCAAGTGACTGTGTAATTTCCCCTTTCATTTCCTTTAGTGAACGATGGTTAAAGTTTTAAGATTCTATTTTTTTGCAGCGGTCTTGCCCCTTTGTGACGGGCCCTACAAATCTACGTTTGAGGTTGAAGCAGGAGACAAATTATGCAGCAACTTGCTTCTGCTTTAGTTTTTTCTGCACTATCACCCGCGTTTTCAATTCTGAAGTCAACCCTCATGCAAGTGTTCCCTTCACATTAAACTAAGGGACTGAAGGGACATTTCGGACCAAACAACAAAGACCTGGCCTTTCCGCCGCAGACAGCGCGCCTCCCCTGGCAGCCCGTCGGGGACAGAGACCACCCCAACCCGGCAAGAGTGCGGGGCCCGGCCCGAGGGCGGGCGGGGTCAAGGGGCGAGCCTGCGCCGCCAGCTGAAGGCCGCCTACAGAGAGCCGAGCCCGAGGCCAGCCGTGTAGGAAAGCAACCAGAACTACCAGAAACAACCAGGACTTCCCGGGATCTTGGCGATCACTCACCCATGGGCCGCCTGAAGGTTTTTTTCCAGAAGCACTAGACCAGCGGATCTGGCAGCTGCACCGAACATCCGGGCCACAGCGAGCTCGGCGGCTCCGCCTCCCAGTAACCTGGGCAACCGCTCCGAAGTTCCTCCCCCACTTCCGGGTTTAGGCTCTGATGTCCCGCCCCACGAGGGGTCGCTGCTTCGCGTCCCGCCCTCCTCGCCAGGAGTCAGTGGGTAGGGGTCGGGCTTGAAGTCGTCGCTGCAGGACGGTTCTTGTGTCCCCGGACGCAGACCATGGAGAGCGCGCTGGCGGTGTCCCGGCTGCCCCCGCATGATCCGGGGACGCCGGTGCTGTCGGTGGTCGACATGCACACGGGCGGCGAGCCCCTGCGCATCGTGCTGGCTGGGTGTCCGGAGGTGTCCGGGCCCACCCTGCTGGCCAAGCGGCGCTACATGCGCCAGCACCTTGACCACGTGCGGCGACGGCTCATGTTCGAGCCCCGAGGGCACCGGGACATGTACGGGGCTGTCCTAGTGCCGAGCGAGCTGCAGGACGCGCACTTGGGCGTCCTGTTCCTGCACAACGAGGGCTACAGCTCCATGTGCGGCCACGCAGTGCTGGCGCTGGGCCGCTTTGCCTTGGACTTCGGGCTTGTGCCGGCGCCCGCTGCGGGCACCCGCGAGGCCCGCGTCAACATCCACTGCCCGTGTGGGCTGGTGACCGCCTTCGTGGCGTGTGAGGACGGCCGCAGCCACGGCCCGGTGCGCTTCCACAGCGTCCCGGCCTTTGTGCTGGCAACAGGTAACGGGCGGGACCTTTCCAGCCCAGGGCAGAGCTGCAACCGGGACGCAACTAACAACATTAATGGTGTCTCTAGGCTGGAACTCTCGCAACTAACCCATCCCGCGTGCCCTTGCAATTAATAAAAAGGTAAATCACTGCGAACGTGTGTCAGCAGTCTTCCGTATTTGCTTGGTGCGTGCAATTTCTGTTTTCCCTGACTCCCGTCCGCCTGAGGTTTTGAGAGACCCTTGAGGAGTGAGGAATTCCGTGTTACCCTGACTCAATGCCTCCCTCTGCACTCGTGAGGCGTTCCTAGAGATTTCACCGGTGGGTAAAGCAAAGTACAGTCAGGGTCAAGGAAAGAGCGAAGAACAGCCAATGTACCAGGGTTCCAGGCTGGCTCAGAATATGCTTGGTAGACACAGAATCACAGTAAGTTACTAAACCTGGTCTCCTTTCCTCATCTCCCCCACTTCTTTGAGGAAGAATTAAATGAGAAGGAATGAACAAAGCAGTTTATAAATCATTAAGATACGAATGTTGCTTTTCTTTAAGAACAGGAACACACATTGCCTGGTGTCAAATCCTGATAACCCCCTAAAGCTGTGCAACCTGAAGCAAAGTACTTAATCTCTCTGTGCCCGTTTCTTACCTCGTAGAGTTTTTTGTTAGGATTAAATGAGAGTGTGCAAGATACTGTATTCCTGGAGATAGATGGCAAGGTATATATGATTGCTAAAGTTCCCTAGGCCTATTGTGCCATTAAAAGGTTTTGCTGGATTCCCTAGTACAGATCCTTGTACAGCTTATGTAAAGCAGGGCCTCTGTATAACCATAACCCTTACACGAGGGAGATCCCTCATGGGGATGACCTGGCAAGCTGGCATCTAGTTTCTCATCTGAATACTACCTCCTGGGGGCCGCAGTCTATCAGTAAGAATGCTTTAGTCGTTGTGACTGGAAGTGAGCCAGGAGCCAGTTTACCAGGAACAGAGTTATCCTCTTAAAAATCTTCAAGCCATGCAAATCATCTGTTAGAAAGTTGGACCTTGATTCCCCCTGAAGAACTAGGTTTCAGATTAGCCTGATTATGAATGATAAGTAATAAAACAGGCACTTTTAGAGCAACCTCAGGCAACTGAAACCCACAAGTTAACGAAGAATGCCTCTGGAGAAATTGATGCCATTTTCCCAGAGAATGGTGTCACTTCCAGATTGGGAGGCCACTTGAGGGAGACAGAATTTATGTTTAAGATTCCATTTTTAAAACCTCAACAATTTAACTAGCGTGGTTACCAGAATTCCCCACAGGCAACTACAGCAGCAGATTAGAAACACTCTAGACTTCTGTGGGAAATGGCAGCCGGCAGCAAGAACACGAACTACATCACATTTCTGGGTCAGTTAGGGCAGGTCAGTCAACCACTTGACCTCAGTAGTTCCTCTCAGTAGTTCCTGAAAGCATCAGTGTGTGACTACAATAATTAATGGCCATTAATGGTAACTGAGTTAAGAAAATGAAATGCTATATTCTCTACTTTGAAAAATGTATACAAGGCAGACATAGAGTTCAAGGTCACTGCCCCACCTCTCCCCATCTCAGTGACCTTGTGCTAGAGTTCATACCTCAGTATCACAGTCTGTAAAATGAGGATGACAATAGTACCCACCTCGGAGGGTTGCTGAGTTCTTCTCCACCCCACTGGGCTAAAATGCAAACTCTTTTTTGTTCACAGTATTCTAGGTCCCTGGAAGAGTAGTTAGTCAATGAATATTTGTTGAATGAGTAACTAAATAAATGAAATTTGGAGAAGAATATGCTGATTGACAAATGTAAACATCTGGTCCTCTTGAGAAACCTATTCCCACTGGAAATTAAAGTTTTGGCCTTTGAGTCCCTAATCTGTGCCAGGAACTCCCCACACATGGAATTTTCAAAACAACTCTTTTAGGAGAAATAGCAGTTACAGTTTGCACAAGACACCAAAGACACACTAAATGGCAGAACTATGGTTGGAACCCTGGCCTATCATACTGCTTGGCTCTCATCCTTAAAATTTTTTGTAGTTTAAGGAGATATGTTTCAATTTCTGGAATACTGCTTAGTGTATCACCCCTCATTCACAGATACAGCGTATTTTAAAATCTATCTTGTCCAACTAAACTCCAAGAAGGGAAAAGCCTATGTTTTATTCTTCCTTGTACTTCTTATATCTTCTACAGTAATCGGCACATAGTAGGTGCTCACTAAATCTTAAGCAAAGTAAATCAAATTGAAATTTCAGTGATATGCTTGTATAGAAGAAAGGAAAAACCCTTAGACTTTGGATTGCATTCTGGATAGAGGTTGTGTATTTTAGTACAAAGAATTTGGGCTTTGGAGTCACCTGGTCCTGGGTTTGACCCCAAGCTCTGCCACTTATTTGGTGGGTAAGTCAGGGAATAATGTGAGGATAGTAAGTAAAACAGTACCTACCTCTCAGGGCTGTAGTAATTAAGGCGCTAATGTAATGAATTAAGGGGTTAGTATATGTAAAGACCTGCCACATAGGAAGTACTCAAGGGTGAAATAAATATCTTAATTTTTAATTTTAGTAATTTAGTGATTAAAAAATGAAGTAATCACAGATAATTGATGGACAAGGGTAACTTTAAAGGAAATTTGGTCCGTTTTAAAGAAAAGGAAACCAAAACTCAGTGAGGTGTAGCACCCTACCCAACTGCCCCCCTTGAGAAAACCAGACCCAAGATTCTAGAAAGGGTGGGCCAGGGAAATGATTGTAGGCTCAGGGATGACTTCTCCTGAACCAGCTTCCCAACTCCATCCTGGCCCCCTGATTGGGGGCCAATGCCCCATTCAGGTGTTACAATCAAGAGAAGAGGGCAGGCAGACTGAGCCCCGGGACCGTCACCTGGGTCTCCTGGTAAATGCTGATCTGCACCCTCACCTTAGCTCTCCACCTTCCAGCAGTCTCTCATTTCTATCTACTTCCCCATTCTCTTTTCATTAAACTTGCTTTTCTTGTTGCACCAGCATCAAGATAAAGACATTTTTGATTCAGTTTTGTTGTTACAATCCACAGCATGTTTTACTCTTTCGATGATAAACTTGCTCTGTTTTAGCACATCATGGGTTAAAAGGGCTTCTGTGGACTAGTGTGGACTGACAGCATACTGATAGCCTTCTGTGGACTGATAGCATGCTGGTATCTTTGTGTGACTTAGCATGAAAACTCAGGAACACAAGACATATTTTCTTTCCCAAAACTTAATTTCTGAAATTGAAACCCTACTCTGTCCCCTTTTGGTTCACTTAGCCTCATCACTCCATGTGTTGTCCCCTTTCCTGATATGTGTGAGCCAACGTTTCTTAAAAGTGCTGTGGCCTTGGAGAGGATGGCACTTCAGTCCTCAGCTTACACAGTTAATCAGCGAAGTGGAGCAGCAGCATTGGCTGTCCCACCCCACCTGGTCCATGCCCTCTGCACCACCTCCCCGTCCTCTGTTTCTTCACGTCCTGCTCCTGTGTTGCCCTGCGGAAGTTAACACGAGTCCTCTGCGCACTAAGGACCTTCAGCCTCCACTCTTCTCAAGGCAGAAAAAATGTATCTCTAGGAGAAATATTTCTACCTTCAGGACACTCCTTTGCCAACAGATGACTTTCCCTTAGAGCTTAGGCTTCCGTAAAATAAAAACATGAAAGACAAACTTTCTCCCCTGCCATAGGCTTCCCTGAAAGACAGTGATCAACAAGCCAGCTTAAATTAGGGAAGAGGAAAAGAGAAAAATTTGAGAAGAGGGGAAATAAACATCACCCAGCCCCCTTTCTTTGGAAATACAGATTCAAGATTTCAAACTACTGACCTTCAGGTGAAACTTTGGGGATGTTGAGACTTAAAATGCTCAAATAAAAACCCTGGTGCAAGATGATGCTGTAGCAGTCAATGATTCTACAATGTCATTTTTTTCTGTGTGTTTGCCTGCAGGATACCTTAATGAGATGAAAATATGTAGATAAGTATATATAATTTATGTAGATCTTTTAAAATTTTTGTTTTGACATTACAGCTGAAGAAAACCGATTTGTAAATAGGATCCAAGATCCTTACTATTTTAAACCATCTCTCATAGTACAAGTGGGGAATAGACATTTTCCTTCTTAGTGTTCACAGGGATGCCCTTGGGTTTCCCTCTCTCGGTCTCAGTGGTGTTTCCTAGAAAAGATCCTCAGAGAAGTTAATGAATATGTCTGTATGAGTTAGGGAAAGCATGGCGTTCAGTTTGTAACTTCTGCAGTCATCAAGTTAAAATAGAAAATAGAATGATGCGTCTAGCTCTTATTCACTTGATGCTTACTAATTTTAAAAAATTGATTTTTACTTCATTATTTTCATGATAGGAAAAGAACATCCCTCTTGAAAAATAAACATATTAAAAATCCTTTGAATTTTGTTGCTAAAATACTTATTAACAAACACATCTTATTTCCAAACACATCTTTTTTTTAGATCTCATGGTGGATGTTCCCGGACATGGAAAGGTGGTGGTGGACATTGCATATGGCGGTGCATTTTATGCATTTGTTAGTGCTGAAAAGTTAGGACTAGACATTTGTTCTGCAAAGACCAGGGACCTTGTGGATGCAGCGAGTACAGTAACAGAGGCAGTGAAAGCTCAGGTCAGTATTACTCTGCTTTCATAACCAATGCCCTTCTCTGTGGCATGGAGGAAATATACATTATTAGGTCTATAAAGAAAATTAAATGATGTTTAAATTACTAGTAGTACTAAGAATAGGGTACTTATTAAAATCTTAGCCTCCAAAGCAAGCTTGTCCAACCCATGGCCTGCGAGCCACATGCAACCCAGAATGGCTTTGAGTGTGGCCCAAAACAAATTTCGTAAACCTTCTTAAAACATTATGAGTTTTTGCAATTTTTTGTGGCTCGTCAGCTCTCATTAGTGTTAGTGTATCTTATGTGTGGCCCAAGACAATTCTTCTCTTCCAGTGTGGCCCAGGAAAACCAAAAGATTGGACACCCCTGCTCTAGAGCAAAACTCTCTATGAATTCTAGCTTTACCACTTGTAATGTATATAACTTTGGACAAGTTATATAACCTCCATATGCCTCAGTTTTCCTGTCTGCAAAATGGAAATTAAAAAATACCTGCTTTGTAGGGTTGTGAGAATAAAATAAGTCAATAAATGTAAAGGACTTAGAGTAGTGTCTGGCCAATAGTAAATGTTCAGTAAATGATAATATTATTTTTTTGAGACAGGGTCTTGCTCTGTCACCCAGGCTGTAGTGGAGTGGTGTGATCAGAGCTTGCTGTAACCTCAAATTCCCAGGCTCAAAATGATGCTTCTGCCTCAGCCTCCAGAGTAGCTGGGACCACAGGCATGCCCCATCACACCCAGCTAAATCTGTGTGTGAGTGTGAGTGTGTGCGTGTGTGTGTTTATATAGAGACAAGATCTCACTATGTTGCCCAGGCTGGCCTCAAACTCCTGGCGTCAAGTGATCCTCCCAACTCGGCCTCCCAAAGTGCTGGGATTATAGGTGTGAGCCATCACACCCAGCAATTACTAAATTTAATAATACATACATACTAATAGAGTTTATAGTTCCTTAAATGTGTAGAAACGTATTTATAGAATTGTACAAATTTTAAATGCATGTGTGTGGTCATTCTGTAAAACTTGAAAATAATAAATGTAAAATATAGCATACAAAATGGATTTAAACCTTTTTCTTATTTCATAGAGAACATTAATTCCTATTTTTTTTTCCTATATTGCTAAGAAGTTACTCAAATAACTACTTAAATAACTCTAGTTTTTACTTGGGAAAGCTATTTTGATAAAATCAGTTTAGATAATAAATAATTCTAGAATATTCTTTCACTTCTAGCACAAATGAAGCACATTTTACCTTGAAATTGGGACCTATAAATAAAGCACATGTACAGTATTTGAATGTTTAGTATGTGAGAATTTATTGGTAGTAAAAAGTAACTTGTGTAAGATAGTGTCTAATGTACTAATAATTATTATGTTCTGAAGCTTTATTTTAAAATAATTTATAACTTAAATAACAAAATGAGAATATATACTGTATCAGTATTATAAATTATTTTTCTGGTACTGCCAGTACCAATATGTGTAATTATATTATGATAGTAACTTTTGAAGCTCTGAATGTACATTAATTTTCTGTTCCATTAAGCAGGACAGCTAATAGTTTGAGTTAACAATTTGGCACAAAATAATTTCTCCTAATTTTTAATGAATTGAAGAGAAAAAGTCATGGATATCTTAATAAAAGGTGTAATTTTGTCCTTCTCATTTGAGTTTGAACTCAACAAGGTGGCAAGGGTGGACTTTGAGGCAGGAAGGATTCTGAGAAAAATGAGGACAAGTTCTATTATTGATGTATCAGACAGTACAATTAATTACTCTGTGAACTGTTGACCATTCACACTGCTGAAGCAGATTTAGGAAAAGGCCATGTGGATGGAGAGTTAAAGTTAATATAAATTCATCTTCGTTCATTCACTCTTTTAACAAACATTTACCAAAAACATACTGTATGGATGTTAGACACTATGCTAGATCCGAAAGAACAAACTCCATCTTCGAGGAGCTAGCTCCAGTGGGGGAAGCGAGCATTGTGTTGGAATGTGCTATAGTGGAGGTGGGGCATATCGCTTTACGAGGATGGAGAACAAAGATTCAATCTGCAGGAGACTTTAACGTGGTTTCAGATGGACTCTTTGGATGTTAAGAACCCAAAGCTGTTCCATTGCTTTAAATGACATGTAACTGGAAGTAGAAAGTACTAATTATAAGGATATACAAGGGAAGTAAGATTACAGCAATCTCAGTCATACTACAAATGTTTGCAGAAATCCAGGAAAAGTTAAAGAACTAGACTTCCAAGAACAAGTAGCTTTGCACATTTGGACCTGAATCTACCATTGAGTGACTTAGTTACCCTGCCAGTGCCTGCTTCTTTGTGTGCATATCTACTGCTTTTTGATGAATCAACTGACTTCATCGGCTACAATAAAGCTATTTTTCATCCAATTGTTTCTCTCACCTAATAGTTTCTGCATTCTTACAGAATGTTATGTCCTCTCACAGCCTTTGTCTCTATCATTGGTATTAACTTCAGCTCTAGATACTCAGAGCCTGATTTTCCCACATTATCCTCTTTAAGCTTCTGAGAATAAGACTATGATTGCCTTAGCTCATCCTGTTGGAGAAGCCATCACCAGCCTGTGGATTGACCATCCTGGGGTCAGTGCTGCAAAGACTATGTGTATTTGGGGTGGGAGGGGTGTATAAAATAGAACTACTTTTTTTAGCAAAGGCTATATGCAGGACAGCTTCCTTAGAAGGGACTCAAAGTATGATAATAATTATAACTTCCAATAAAGTTGTTACTTCATCTAGACAATGACATAATTTCTAGCAATTAGTATACGTTGCCCAAAACGGTATTTTAAAAATGATGATTAAAAAGTTACATCTAAAAATGACCCATCTGCATTATTTATAAAGATAAATTTGAATCAAAATATTTATTTTTTGTGTGGTTGTTTTTTTTGTTATTTGCAGTTTAAAATTAATCATCCTGATAGTGAAGACCTTGCCTTTTTATATGGAACCATATTAACAGATGGAAAAGATGCTTATACCAAGGAACCAACCACCAACATTTGTGTTTTTGCAGATGAACAGGTATTAAAACCGAATGTTTAGGGACAAACGCCAGGTAATATGGAACTAAAACATTATGAACATTCTATCTTCATTTATTCTGAAACAGGTTGACAGAAGTCCCACTGGCTCGGGAGTGACAGCCCGAATTGCTTTACAGTATCACAAAGGGCTTCTGGAACTGAACCAGATCAGAGCCTTCAAAAGCAGTACCACTGGCTCAGTATTCACAGGGAAAGCTGTGAGGGTAAGTGACACCCTTAGCTTCTTATTTATAAATGTGTCACTCATGAGACTGAAGAGGCCTGAGTTGGGTGTTTGATAAATTTCTTCAGTCAGCTTTCAGAAGAGAATTTTAAAGCAGGCCTGTAAAAACTTCTTTTCAACTAGGACATTGGTTCTCCAGTGTGGTCTTGGGACCCCAGAGGGCCCCTAAGTTCCTTTCTATGGGTTCAGAAGGTCAAAACTATGTTTACAATAATGACATTACTTGCTTTTCACTCTCATTCTCTCAAGAGTGTACAGTGGAGTTCTTCAGAGGCTACGTGATGTATGATAACCCAACCAATTGAATGCAGAAGCTGGATATGAGAACCCAGTTGTCTTCTATTAAGCCAGACATGAAAGAAGTTTGCAAAAATATCAAACATTGCCAGTTTTCTCATAAATTTTTTTTGTTTTGGCAAACATAGTTATTTTCACAAAAATATGGGTTTGTTATTTTTAAAATGAAGTAATGAACAGATATATCTAATTCCTAATACAGTAAATATTGATAGATAAAACTTATATAAAGAAAAACTCTTTGGGATCCTCAAATCTTAAGGTATAAAAAGGTCCTGAGACCAAAAGGTTTAAGAGCTACTAAATCAGGGTTTGGGTTTTTTTTGTTGTTTGTTTTTTGTTTTATTTTGTATTAGTGTTTTATTTGATATAATAGGATGTGAAAGCCCTGAAAAGTTGTGGAACATCAAATTTTTGTAATGGAATAAAATTTTAAATGTGCTAACCGCTAAGTAATGAATCTCAGTAGTAAAGGAAATCTACTACAGAATGATTGATCTACATTCAGTAAATTATTCTACTCATAAAGAGTCCTTTAACATAGCAAACAATCTACCCTAATATAGCTGTTTTTAAGATTTGGTGTTTCTCAATATTAGAGTTTCCTTAAAGATCTCTACATCATATAGCAATCTTAGACATGTGAAACCATTTATGTTGTATGCAAAAATTTGGAACACACTGTCTTCAGAATCTGAAATGGAACATAAAAATAATAACATACATTTATTGGATACTTCACTGTTCATCAGTTTTCAAGCTAAACACTTGATACATGCCATCTCATTTAATCCTCACAAGAATCCTACAAGGTCAGTACTGTACTGTTGTTATCCTTTTAAATAGATGATACAATGGAGAATTGGAGAAGTTAGGTAATTTGCCAGAGGTTAGTTAGTGAGTAGCAGATCCAGGTCATGAACTTGGGTCTCTCTGAACAGACCAAAGCATTACATTATATTGCTGTCAGAGCAAAAGGTCAATGAGGCTTTATATTATAGGAACTGTTATGAGAAGAATCTGGGACTGCAATGTCCCCCTAAATAGAGAGGGAGCCGAGAGACCAAAGAATGACTCAGACACGTCCAGGTTGGCAAGTCGATGCATTTATTAGAACTTCCATACAAGGCACTCCTGGGAAGCAGCTGAACAACTATGGAGACCCATCCTGCCTCCTGACTCTAAGCTGCTTTTAAGCTAATTTTCTGGCTCTTTGCCTACTGTGTATGTGTGATAGGACTGTTTTCCTTGGTATGTTCCCAGATATTCTCTGGGATATTTGGGTTCTCAGGGATACCTGCTCCTTGGCTGGGCACCATGCCCTTGGCTTACCCCCCAAGCCTTCAGGGTTCAAGCAGTGCACGTACATCCTTACATAACCTGGTGAAGGACCTGTCACACTACAGCAACTTTATAAAAAGATAAAGTATTATACCCCAACAATATTTGACATTTTACCTTTCGCTTCAGTTATTCTTCTTTTAAAAAGTAGAACATAAAAAGATATGCTGAAGTTAATGTTTCCAGTTATTTGTTTTATAGTTATTGATCATGCTTGCCAGAACGTCTTCACTTGCATCATGCTCTCTCCCTGTCTGTGTGGGCCTGTCCAGGCTCCCTGATGGTACCTTTTCAGTTTCTTCGCCTGTCCCAGCTTCCTTTCCCTGTCCTTCCATTTAGATGTTCCCATCACTTCATCCTCAGCTTCCTTCTCATCTCATCTACAGTTTGATGCTGCTGGGCAATTTCATCCACTTCCTAGGCTTTAGTTTTCAACCATCTACTGATGATGACTCCCAAACCTTTATCCCTGCCCTGCCTACCTACCCTGTATGTCTTTCAGAATATAATGCACTTAATCCCAACTGTTCATTATGCTCATCTCTAAATGACTGTCCCAGAGGTGTCTCAAACTCACCTTGTTAAAAAGTTCTTCCTTCCTTCCTTTCTCAAATGTGCTCTTCCTTTCTCTCCCCATTATGGTTAATGCCATCACTAGCATCATTTCCAAGCTAGAAACTATGGTTATAATTAACTTATTGCTAGTCCTCAGTTCCCACATGCATTGGTCAAGAGGCCTATCAGTTCTACCTCCAAACTGTCTCTGTGTTAGTATATATTCTCCTTCTCCATCGTCACTGAAAACTCCCGTAGTGACTATGGAATCATTCAGTGAATTGAGGTTATCTCTTAACATGTTTCTGGGTCTTTTGTCTCTCTCTTTTCCAGTTTGATCCCCATTTTACAGCTACAGTTATCTAAAACACAAGTCTGACCACGTCACTCTCCTTAAAAACCTTCCCTTGCCTGTAGGATTTCCTTGCCTTTCCTTCACATGATAAAAGTGAAGAGTACAATTTTCAAGCCAGATACAATATGAGTGCAATATTTTGATAGTATACTCCATCTTTTTTCAGGAAGCGAAATGTGGTGATTTTAAAGCTGTTATAGTGGAAGTATCAGGACAAGCCCACTACACGGGTACAGCAAGCTTTATAGTAGAAGATGACGACCCACTGAGGGATGGATTTCTTCTCAAGTGACTTCTTCCATGATTTTGAGGGCTTTCTTTTTAAAGTAATCATTATCCATAATGATTGTTTTCTCTAAATTAGGTGAAAACCAATAATCAAATTATACATATAAACTAATTTTCTTTCTAAAATACTACCCTGTGACTAAATATAAAGTCATTATACCTCATATTTGCAACTGTATTTTGGTATAAATATCACTTATGTCTAGCATACAAAATGCCAGAAATGCAGTCTTTTTCTCATGATTAACATATCAGGTAAAATTAAAGCAGTAGTTACTTTTAAAATATTGCTCTATGGTAATTACTATTAATATCATATTTTGTTTTAAAGACTCTTTGAATAATATGTGGAATTTAACAATGAACTTTACAAGCTCATTATTTTTGTCTTCCATTTTTTTTTTTGAGTAGAATAATGTCCTCTCTATAAGCAGCACGTAAAGGAGATGGATTATTATAAAGTACTCAACACTTAGCACAATAGCCTGGGAAGGATGGGGTTGGAGTCAGCTTCTTTGTTACAGCTGCTGCTAGGGTGTTCTCTGTGGTGCAAAGCCCAGCGTCTACACCCACAGGTAATGAAGTATCAGAGACCATCTCCAATATCCTAGAATTCAGACACTGATCATTTCAACACTAACCTCAAGACTTTGCACATGCATCAAATGTTCTTCCCCTTTCTTCTTTTTTTAAAAAGTCTAATGTCACCTCTTGTACAAAGTCTTCGTCAGGAAGAGTTAGTTACCTCCAAATAATTTCACTCACATATTTTTAAGACAATATTTAGCACACTGTAATATACTGTGTTGGCCTGTGACTTAAGCTTATTTGGGCTGGGTTTCCTATCTTATTTGTTGTTTTCTAAAACTAAGCACAATCTTAGAAGATTGTGTTTCCTAAATAAATTAATGTATGATAATTATATTTTTGTCTTGATTGACAAAATTAAGATGAAATCAGTCTAGATTAAGCTGGGGTTGACAGATCCCAAGAGGGCATTTGGCAATATCTGAAGACATTTTTAGTTGTCAAAGCTGGGAGAGGTGCTACTGGCATCTTGTAGGTAGGGGCTAGGGATGCTGCTGAACATCCTACAGTGTATAGATGGCCCCTGCAATAAAGAATTATCTGGCCCAAAAAGTCCATGACGCTGAGGCTGAGAAACTCAGTTTTGGTTTGCCACCTTAAATGTTCTTCTATTTCTACTGTAAATTTCCTGTAGGATATTTTTTCTGAATGAAGTAAGCACTCCCAATACTAACACCATTGATGCTAACACCTACAAATGTACTAGTCATTCTGTAGAGCAGTGTTTCTCAAATTTGTGCATCAGAATCACTGGGAGGGCTTGTTAAAACATAGGTGCCTGGGCCCCACCACAGGAGTTTCAGTAGATCAGGGGTATCTTATGCACTGTAGGCCTGATAATATGTATCTCTCAAGGTTTCCAGGGGATGTTGATGCTGCTGGTCCAATGTCCATACTCTGAACCACTGCTTTAGAGAAGAGCCCAGGGTTAGTTAACCTGAAGGTTTATCACACTTTTCCCCATTACGGGCCATGCCCAGAAACTTGAGATGCAACTTCCCCGGGTAGCCCTGCCTTTCTTTTCCCTGTATCTCCCAGCCAGATACCTGGAGCTGCATCTGTGATGATTGCCAGGCTGGCAGCATCTTAGACTCAAAACACACCCCATTCCTGAGAACAGATGAAGGCTGCTAGCAGGGCAAGGCACCAATCCCTTTCCCTCCATTTATCAGCCAGTAGGGGCCTGAGGTCCAGGCCCATGGAAATGAAGTAACATGTAAAGAAGATGCATATCCTAGCTCCTCAGAGCACCTGTATCAGAATCACCTAGAGGGTTTAGAGTCATGGGCCCATCCTCAGTAATTCTGTCAGCCAGGGAATCTGCATTTTATGAAGCTCTTGACATCAGTGGTTCTCAAAGTGTGGTCCTGGAACCAGCATCATCATCATCATCGGCGAGTCCGTTAGAGATACAAATTCTTGGGCACTTCCCCAGACTTATCCAAAACACTGGGGTTGAGACCTTGTCACTTGTATTTTAACACACCCTCTATGTGAATTTTCTGTTAGCTCAAGTTTGAGAATTATTGGTTTAAATTAGTCGACCTCTCAAGTTGAAGATGTCTGGATGTAGACTTCTGGATTTTTATTTCACTTCACGTTCTAGATTCCTTTCCCACCTGTATATACCAAAAGCACCCACAGGAAGCAAAGCACCCCCCACCCGCTCCCCAAAAGGCCTGCCTGTAGAACATTTGTACCCTACAAAAGAGAGCAAGAGTGAACTTTCGCTGAATGTGGTCATTGGTTTGCATGCCACTCGCGCTTTATCTGGCCGGACAGTGGTCCCTGAGGAGGTAGACCTGGCACTCTCGGAAACACGAAGCCCCCGGCCGGCCGGTAACCTCCGAAGGGGCAGTGTCATGGGCCGGCTTCGCAGCGGGTACTGGGTTGGCGTCCCGCCCCGCGCTCCTGCGTAAACACGCGGTTCCCTCGGCAACGCTCTGAACCCACGTCAAAGGCTCCGCCGGGTCCCCAGAGACCGCCACCCCTCCGGCCGAGCCCAGCTCCCCGCAGCGGCCGCTAGCCCCCGGCCCTGAACCACCCCTCCGACCTAGCGGCCGCCGCCCCCGCTGCGGGATGACCAGATCCGCGGCCGCCACTGGGCCCCATGGAGGAGCCGCCGCCGCCACCGGCCCGCTCACCAGCGAGCATGGCCTTACTGGGCAGCCCGCACCCCGGCGCCCCCTCCGCGGCCGGCCCGCCTGGCGGGACTTCCTCCGCGGCCACGGCAGCGGTGGTCTCCTTCAGCACCGTGGCGACCGCGGCGGCCGCGGCGCTGGGGAACCTGAGCGACGCAAGCGGAGGCGGCACAGCTGCCGCTCCCGGTGGCGGCGGCCTTGGCGGGTCCGGGGCAGCGCGGGAAGCGGGGGCGGCGGTGAGGCAGCTCCTGAGCTCGGAGGCGGCGCCGCTGCTGTCGCACGGAGCTGCGGTGGCGGCCCAGGCGCTCGTCCTCTTGCTCATCTTCCTGCTGTCTAGCCTGGGCAACTGCGCGGTGATGGGGGTGATCGTGAAGCACCGGCAGCTCCGCACCGTCACCAACGCCTTCATCCTGTCGCTGTCCCTATCGGATCTGCTCACGGCGCTGCTCTGCCTGCCCGCCGCCTTCCTGGACCTCTTTACGCCGCCCGGGGGCTCGGCGCCTGCCGCTGCCGCGGGGCCCTGGCGCGGCTTCTGCGCCGCCAGCCGCTTCTTCAGCTCGTGCTTCGGCATCGTGTCCACGCTCAGCGTGGCGCTCATCTCGTTGGACCGCTACTGCGCCATCGTGCGGCCGCCGCGGGAGAAGATCGGCCGCCACCGCGCTCTGCAGCTGCTGGCGGGCGCCTGGCTGGCGGCCCTGGGCTTCTCCTTGCCCTGGGAGCTGCTTGGGGCGCCCCGGGAACTCGCGGCGGCGCAGAGCTTCCACAGCTGCCTCTACCGGACCTCTCCGGATCCCGCGCAGCTGGGCGCGGCCTTCAGCGTGGGGCTGGTGGTGGCTTGCTATCTGCTGCCCTTCCTGCTCATGTGCTTCTGCCACTACCACATCTGCAAGACCGTGCGCCTGTCGGACGTGCGCGTGCGGCCCGTGAACACCTACGCGCGCGTGCTGCGCTTCTTCAGTGAGGTGCGCACGGCCACCACCGTGCTCATCATGATCGTCTTAGTCATCTGCTGCTGGGGGCCCTACTGCTTCCTGGTGCTGCTGGCAGCCGCCCGGCAGGCCCAGACAGTGCAGGCCCCCTCGCTCCTCAACGTGGTGGCGGTCTGGCTGACCTGGGCCAATGGGGCCATCAACCCTGTCATCTACGCCATCCGCAATCCCAACATTTCGATGCTCCTAGGGCGCAACCGCGAGGAGGGCTACCGGACTAGGAATGTGGACGCTTTCCTGCCTAGCCAGGGCCCGGGTCTGCAAGCCAGAAGCCGCAATCGCCTTCGAAACCGCTATGCCAACCGGCTGGGGGCCTGCAGCAGGGTGTCCTCTTCCAACCCGGCCAGTGGAGTGGGAGGGGACATGGCCATGTGGGCCCGCAAAAATCCGGTTGTACTTTTCTGCCGAGAGGGTCCACCAGAGCCTGTGACGGCAGCGACCAAACAGCCTAAATCCGAAACTGGGGATACCAGCCTCTAAGACGGTTGGGATGGCCAGCTTATGAAGGCAAATTTCCACTCGCATTATTTAATGACGGAAGATTCTGGGGGAGAGTCGTGGATTTCATAAAACCAAACATTTAAAGCTGGAGACGGGGGAGGCTTACCACTTTCCCCAAACAACATAAAAAACAATGTCCCTTCTTCAAAAGTGCCAAAAGGAATGTAAAATGCAAAAATTAAAACAATCTTAAACCACATAACCAAGCATTGTGAACTGTAAGTGCCAAAAATGACAAAAATAACATTCACTATAACTGAAAAGCTCATATTACAGGACCACACTGTGAAACAAACAAAACATTGAATGCAGCTAGTATTCTTCAACTACATAGAATTTCAGGAATGAATGGAGACCCTCAGAGCTGCTTGAAAGCCCCTCTAAATCGCTAGCATCCAACAAAACTGTAGTTTCTAGAGCTTGCACCTCTGACATGCCTTGGGTGGTTAGATTGCAAGTGGAAAAGTCTTATCCTTACACACATTGGTGCACTTCCTCACCCCACCCCCAATAACCTTTGTGGAAAATTGTTAATTCATTTAACCCATTTAAAATCATTTTAGGATTTTGAAAAAGTGGTTATTATTAGATAAAATTCAACCATCTGAAGGACAAGTAGAAGTATGAGCATAAATGTGTTTTAAAAATGTTTTCCAAGATTATATGTAAAAAGTAACATTCCTTCCACCCGCATCATCTCTCCAAAATGATCTTCCTTGGAAAGCTTTGAAGCTTTATCCTTACTCTAACATACTACTTTTATTTCTGATAAATTTTGGGATGCTGCTCAGAAGTCTTTTGAGGTAAATTTGATTTTTGGATATAGCCAAAAATGTAATTTGAAGTCAAGTTGATTGAATAAGGTGAGTCATGCCACTTCATTTAAATTATTATTATTTTTTTAAATGAGACCTCTATAAAGCCATAAGGTTGGGTTTCCTATGTGGCTTTTAGCTAACTGAAAATGATTCCAAAGAGAAATTCTGTAACTATTTTGAGAAGCAGCCTCTTGGAATTAGCATAGACTTTTCCAAGAAGATCATACTCTTCTACATTTAGAAATTTGGTGTATTTTGTGTTTTTAAAAATAGCTGATGGTTGCTTTATAGCTATGACTTGTCGAAGATAATGTAGTATTAAAGGGAGAATAGGTGTGGGACTATATGTAACAGGGTATTAAAAACACAGGCATAAAGCTGGAGAAGAACTTCAAGCAAACTGAAAATATCTTTAGAAATATGCAAATCAAAGATGCTTTTTAAATTTCTATCCTAGCAAAAAAGATGGTTTTACAATAATTCAAAAACATAATTCAGGATTTGTGTAGGTGAACTTTCTAATGTTAAATACAACTATACACAGGATCATTTACTCAGAATTTTTAAAAATGTTATTTTTCCCTCTTTCTTTCCCTCCATCCTGCCCCTCTTTTCTTCAATATTTCATAGCTTTAATTGAACAAGTTATTTATAGTAGATGTGAAAAGACATTAGCTGTCGTATGAAGATTTCAATGTGAAATAGCCAGCATTTTCTTCCTGTAAAGTATTTAAATATGTTTTTAAGTATTTCTTTGTTTGACACGTGGGTGCATGTCATTATTTTGTAATCAAAGGTGGAAATATATGATTCATGTCAGAGCTAAAGATGTTTTAATTTTTTCTGCTTCTCAGTGTATCATCACAAATCAGAAGTTTGTAAATTGTGTATATTTTGCTACACTCGATGTAGTACAAAGTAGATGAGATAATCTCTCCCCTCTAGCCCTTATTTTATAAAGCATATACAGACTTCATGCAGCTGTACTAACAAAAACAGGCATCTGTAGTATTTGCCTGTTAAAGGCAAAAAATTGTGTATTTTTTGGCACCGAGTCACTTTTGGGATTTGGAGAGAAATGATAAAGTCTTCCAATTATAAAAGATATCATAGAATAGGAAGTACAGTTGTGAATAAAGGGCAGAGAGAGATCTTAGAGTAAGGAGGTGAACGTGTTGCAAATTAGTGTGTTGCCTGGGAAGAAGAATTGAAGGAAGGCATTGAAAAATAAACGTGATATAGAAAAAACCTACCTGGTGAGTGAAGGAAAAATCTGAGAGATTGGAAGTGACAAGGTGATGGCAGGAAGAACTTTAAGGAAGAAAAGGAATTCCAGCCCTACCTCTTCAGTGGCAGGAAGTTTTAGGAAAAGCATGGCTTGTGAAAGAGACCATTCTGTTAGTGGCTCTGAGAGTCATGGTAGGCAAGAATTAGAGGGGAAAAAGAGAAAGTTGTTCATAAATTACTGAACAATTTACAATGCTCTAAATTGTTTGTTTTTAATCCAAGGCTATCCAACTATTTAGTGGTAGAACTAGGATTTGAACTACAGTCCATTTGGCCTCAGAACCCCATGTTTTTTCTCTGTATTCCCACAGAAGTCTACAGGTAAGGAAATCAAGAATAATCACTTATGGTACTGTCATCATTATCATCATCATGATCATCATCTACCATTTTTGTTTCCTACTTTATATAAGGGCAACTTCCTGGGAGCTAAGGCTACTAAAAGGTAGAAGCCACAGTACTCATCTGCAGAGGGCTTACAGCCTCAGCAAGGACCTTGTGGCTTTGTAACAACAATCAGCCATAACAAGTTTACTTGTGGAGAAGAAAAGGTGTAGCATTTTCAGAAGAGGCTATCAAAGAAAAGAGATGAACTTGGAAGCAAGAGATATGCAGGTATAAGTCAGCCACCCATTTGATCCAGTGTAAATACTTACACAATCGATACCTCAAAAGGTGAAGAAAGAATGATTCTCAAAATAATCTAAGAGTTTGACCTTTCCATCTGCTTACTATGAGTATGCAATTATAGTGACTTCGTGGGAAAAGGAGAAAGAAAAGCTATGAAATAATGGAATGGATTAAATATTGATTACTATGTAAAGGCCAGAATGTAATCCTTCATGTCTCATTCTGCTTCCTGTTTGGGTATTTCATTTGGGAGGAAATAATGCAGCAACAGGTAATACTCTGTATAGTAGGTGCATTACCTTATTTAATCCTCAGAGCAATCTTATGAAGGCATACTATATTATCACTCTCCCCATTTTACAGATGAGAAAACCAAGGCACAGAGGTGTTATGTGATCACACAGCTAGTAAGTGCTAAACATGAGATTTGCACCTGGCAGATTGGTGCCAGAAGTCGTCTCTTAACTGCGATACTGTACTGCCTCTGTCTTTTGAAAAAGACAATGAGAAACCTGGGAAAGTGCCAAGGAAGATAAAGACAACTATCAAAGGGATAGGAAAACAGCATAACATTTAAAAGAAAAGATTTTGTTTTTGATTTGGAAAACAACTATATGTGTGTGTTTAAAAAAAATACATATGAAGAGTTTCTGAGCAGTTGTTTTCTGGAAAAATTCCACTCAAGATGACCCCAGTCATCCAACTTCCCCATTCCTGCTCCAGCACAGCTGAACACCGTTGGAGAAAAATTACAGAATCAGATCAATTAGTACCCACTGCACTTAGAATCCATAGCCTTGCCTGCCCCTTCCACCCTGCTGGCAATCTCAGCATTTTCACATGTCAGCTCACTCCTTCTGCCCCCTTTTGTGACCCTTCAAACTTTCTCCACTCAAACATTTAACCAACCCTAACCTCTTGGAATGTGACTTTTGTTGCTACTTCTCCATGAAAATAGAAGCCATCAGATACACATTTCTTCATATTTTAGCCACTGAACCTAACTAAACTAGATTTGTACTAGTTCTCAGCTATGTTTTCCAGTTATAATGAAGCTGGTCTCTTCTCCAGCCTCGGAAATCTCATGCTATCTGTTATTTCTGTTCCCTGGTATCCTTAGCCTTCCCACTGAACCATATCCCTGCCATGAGCACTTAAGCATGCCCTAGTCTCTCACTTAAGAAGAAAAATTCCCATTCTTCCCTCCTTTTCTCTCCCTCAGTTCCTTTCCGTCAGCTAACCCATCGAAAGAATTGCCTGTACTTTTACAATTGATCTAAATTCTAGTCTACACTTTTAGTGGTATAAGAAAGAAAGTAATTATTTTTCTGCAACTCAGTATCTTACTCTGCCAGATGGCAAAACTTAAGATGACAGCATCTAGGTTCTAGGGGCTTATTAGTGCCAATGCACTGGTGAACCTAAGTCCTCAATTGTCATCCATTCACCCTGGCATCTGCCAAGGCATCCATCAGTCTGTCTCTGGCCTTATATCCATGGCTTGCTGAGTAATTATTTCCCACTTAAGTCCAAGAGGACCCAGCTCAAATGACCACTTTGGAGCCCCTCTCTAAACACAAAAAAATCATGACTCCACCTCAGAACCATAGAGGGCTGTGACCACACCCATTAGGAGGTCACAGGCTGCTTTTAAAAAATTTTTCAGATATTTTTGATTTTTGATATATTTTGATATTGTTGGGTCAATAAATCGAAATTATACATAAAACATGCATTGGAAGTTCCACTTCTGGAATGGCAATGAAGAGCTCTGTGGATCCCAATTAAACAAGTGTAACTGGTGAACATTAGTTGCAAGACAATCATTTTAAATCTTTTTAAATTGTCCTAATGGCATATAGAAAATGGAGAAACATTAATTAAGAAAATCTACTAAAACTCAGTAAGAATAGTGAGTCTGTGGCATTTGGATTATAACCCACTCACTCTCTCCCTATTGCCAGCTCAGTATGACAGAGACTCCATTCCAGGTGGAAAAAAGCACAAGGCTCCCTTCTCTGAGATCCCAGGACTATCTTGTTCTCCTCAGAGAAGCAGGTTACAAGAACTTCACACCTCTCAGGCTACATGTTGCAGAGGTTAAATTCCAGGTGAGTGCAGCCAAGAAGTTGGGGGTTGTCTTCTACCTACCTCCCACTCATAGAGCAAATGCTTTACTAGGGTGTGGCATGCTCGGAATACTGGGGCCATGATTATTCTCAAAGAAACTCATTTGTAGGACTGAGACTTCATGCTTGAACAGGCAAGCTGAGAAGACCAGATGTTATGACCCCCCACCCAATGCTCTACTTTTGGAGCAACCATTCCAAAAGAAGCAGGCCACCATCCCTGCCCCCACAGTTCAGAGCCATGACTCAGAGAGTTTGCATAGGAGTAGAGACAGGCCTTTAAACAGACGGCCCTGAAGCTCTCTCCAAGGGAACTGATTTTATTTAAAACAAAG